CAGAAGTTTACATCCACTAAGATGCCTTCAAACTATTTGTGAAACCCCAGATGATGATGTCACGACTTTGGAAGCTTCTGATTGGTTAACTGACAACATTTGAGTTGCACCTGTGGATGTATTTTAAGGCTCACCTCAAACAAACTGCTTCCTTTTGTGACAACATGGAAAATATATATCAGGGAGAGAGCTGTGGACCTCCATGAGTCTGGTTCATCCTTGTGTGTATTTATATATATCTCAAAGTCAGATGGATTTGGCGTCCTCCGTCACTCTTTAATTAAGACGGATTTTAGAAAGCCATTTTTTAAGCCACATTTTAGATCAAAATCTGTTTGAGGTTTATTTGAAACGCCGTCTGGCAAACGGACCTTCAGAAATCTCTGTTCGGTCCGTCTCTATGTAGAAATTAGAAGTCAGGAGTCGACTTCATTCGGTAGCTTTAACTTTATAATAAGAGGAGCAGGAGTAAGAGAAGTGGCCTGCTTTATTACTGTGGACATATAACGTCAGTCTTTAATGAAAATGCTTGTGCTCCGACTAGCGTTCTGCTAACAATCGTCAGCTAATGTGTCGTCAGATAGGATGAAAAAGGAATCCTGTCATTTAGAGATTATGTTGTATTCAAATTCCATGACGTATGGATTTTATTGTGGTTTTTAAATTTAACCAAGTCTTGCATCCATGAAGCTGTATATAACTGATTATTTTACTCTTAGTACAGTAAACGAAGCATGAAGTATATATTATTTAGACAGCCTGTGGGATTGTTGTTAATATATCTGTGTGTGTGTGTGTGTGTGTGTGTGTGCATGTGTGTGTGGTCCGAGGGCGGGGTGTGACACCACCCCGTCTGAATGAGAAACAAGGAAGTGATGTCCGTACTATTTTAATCTGCCATCTGTTCACTGCTCTGACTCTGATCATTTCATTATCAGCTCTCTCTCTCACACACACACACACACACACACACACTCACACGCCAACACACACACGACGACACACAACCAAATGCATGTTTTCTCTCACATTCAAATCACGATCGGCTGCAGTAGTGTGTGTAGACAGAGCAGCAGAAGTCATGAGACAAATCATTTCACTGGAGGATTACCGTCTGACCGGCCGCCCGGTCATCAGGTTTGATCGGCCACATTTTTGGGGGGATTAAATCTGCATGACAGGGTTTCGGTACCGTTCCGGTTACCGTGGCCGGTGAAGCTCGTGGAAGCTCCTTGTTTCTCTTAATTAAATCAACTTGTTGTAGTGACCCCACACGTAAAGTCCTGTCGAACGGCACGCACACACTCACACGGGGTTATGTCCAATACGCATTCTTAATAATGCATCGCTTAGCAACGGCAGGCGGTTGCCTAGCAACAATATTACCAGCCAGCAGTTTGGGTGTGCTTGAAAGTCACACTGTAGTAAAATAAGAGAGAAGGAGGAAGAGAGATCGTGTGTGTGTGTGTTTGTGTGTGTGTGAGTAATAATTATAGTCCCTGTAGGACATATTAGATATTCTGCAGAGTCAGCTGTTTGACTGCAGCACGCTCATAAAGTTAAAAACGTTGCTCATACAAACAGGGACCGGGGATGATTTTGACTTTTCCTGCATCTAGGTCAAAGGTGAGTCGGACTGTAATAATGACCGATGGCCTCGTCGGTCCAGAAAGCTGCTGCATGGAAAAATTCTTCTGTGATGCAGGACCACCGTAGCAAGCTGGCGAGCTAACCGCTAAACTGCCAACTCAACACGGCGGCGCTCGTTTATCAATACCTCCCTCAACTGCTTTTTTGTTTTGTCCTTGAACAAATACATCCCACAAAGGGTCGGGCGATGTCACCTGAGATCAATCACATGATTAATATCATCATGTCAGCAAGCAGACTTGTAGGTAGGACGCTAACAGGACAATAATCTCACACAGGCTGGAGCTTGATAAATAATAAATAATAAATAAAGGCAGACACGTGCAAACTCAAAGCCGCTTTGTGTAGAATTCAACGGTGACACCAGCAAACACACGGCGGCTGCTGATGCTGCAGCGCTCTGTCAGTCCGGCCCTTTCAGATGCTCATAACCAGTTCTTAAACTCTTCGGCAGGATGAAGGCTGGTGGTGGCAACACAAGGGAGAAGCTGCTTTAAGAAACACCCACTGCAGAAGGATCCCAGTGTGACAGGGTGGACGCTACTAGTCAGCTGGAAGAGGAACTACATCCTAATGGTTAACTTTCTCTCTCTTTGTTTAGGGAGCGTTTTTGCCAGAAGCGTGACCCGTCGCTGGGAGCAATCATGTTCCGAAACAGTCTGAAGATGCTGCTGGGAGGCAAAGGTCGCAAGAGCAACAACAGCGGTCAGTCCCTCCAAGCGCCTCTAATCCTTCACGTTACACATATTTGTACATCCTTTAAAGACACACACAAACAGGTGATGGAGTCTATGATTTTTATACCTCTGACTCTTTTCCAACAGGTGGCAGCAGCATAGACTCAGAGGGCTCCGAAGTCAGGATGATGGAGGGATTCACCCGTTCACTGCCCTCCTCTCCCCTCCTCAACCTCCGCCTGGCCAAGAGACCCGGTAGGACTGACTTATCCATCTAATCTACCTCGGCACAGCGCAGCACATCACGCAGGGAGAAACAGATGGCAATATCCAGCCGAGCGCCTTCTAGCTACGAGTTAGCAAAACAAACACGTCCGCAGGAAGAAACTCGATGCCGGGATTAGCGCCGCGACGTGTAGACTGGGACAGAAACTTTCATAAAGAATCATAAAATACACTTTAATGGCATTAAAAGATCTCTGCATATTGTGTATGACTGGAATTCCTGGATCACGGCTGCGTTTGGGCCACTTCAAAGATCCTGGAAATGTGTTTTGTCAATCATCTTGTTACTGTCCTTTCATAGCTTGTTAGTTTTGATCTGGTTTTTCGACTGGTTTTGAAGTGGGCTGTGCCTTCTCCTGCAGCAGTTAATGATGGTTGAATCAGAATCTGTTGGTGTGTTGTTGTCGGCTAAATCTGATCAGACCACACTCACATGGTGCAAACAGATGAACTGGGTTTTTCGGTTTGTACCCTTAAGGTCAGATTTGGAGCATGAGAGTTACTCTTAGCACACGATTCTAGTAACTAGAGACGTACATGCATTATTAATCAGCTCTGAACTGTGGCTCTGGTCTCTGTAATTTAGATATTTAAGGTTTTTTCACATTATAACTCAGGGTAGTTGGAACACAGTGATGAATGAACATCCGTAAATCTGCTCAGAAATCAAATTACAATCCTTACATTTGCCCCAGAGGTAGAAACAGCCACAGATATTTGATGATGTTTCCAAACCCAACGCGCCAACAGTTGCGGTACAGATTGAAGTTATGCTGCATAGCACAACGCAGTCTGCTGATGGCTCTAATGGACCACGCGACCGAGATTTACGACACGTATGTTGACTTTTTATAACCCGTGGAGACATCAGAAAGAAAAATAAACGTATGGAGGTCTGTTCAATTCATGTATAGTCCCTGAGAGTTGACTCGTGTGGGTGTTATGGATGCAAATGTCGAATAATTTTCTTGCAGTGCAAAAAATCGATTAATCAGTTTGGTGAATCAGAGTACGTAGCTCCCTGTGTTGTTGTAGCTGTTTCAGTCAGTGGACACTGGTCAATGACGTACGCTACTGGGATTATAAAAGCACTGTCAGTCACTGTTAAGCGTGTCTTCGTCATGGTGGCCCTTTGCTATCTATCTGAGCACTGGTGGCAAAGCAGGTACGAGGTATAATGTTTGATACGCATGCCTTCATCTTTTGCCTTATCCATTAATATGTATTTAATCGGCTACATCATTACGAGGTGCGTCAGAAAAGTTCCAGGACTGGTGTCACAAGAGATATATTTCAAGCTACAAACTACGAGTTTCCCCCTTCAGACGATCAACCAGCACGTCTACAAAGAGATCCGTTTGCTTTGTTCAGAAGAGGCGAGAGTTGTAGCCGGACAAGTCGTGGCTGCTTCACCATGACAACAACGTCCTGAGCATCTGACAGGTCCTGGCTGAGAAGAGCATCTCCGTGCTGGAGCAACCTCCCTACTCCGTGGGATTTGTTTCCTCGTCCCCAAGCTCAAGGGAGGTCATCAAGGGGACCCATTTTGAAGACGTGGACGACATCAAGATGGCTGTGACGATGGAGCTGAGGAGGAATCCTTCCAGGAGTGCATGGCGACGTGGCAGAGAAAGCTGGGGAAGACTCCAGGGGCATTACTTTGAAGGGGAGTTTGTAGTTTGGATTTGAAATCTATCTTTTGTGACACCAGTCCTGAAACTGTCCTGACACACCTCGTACATTATTAATCAATTAACCGTCAATCATTAGCATCCCTAATGAGTGTACAGACAAGGATCACCAGCAGGGAAGTCTAATGGTACCACTTTACCTAAATGTTTAACTTATGCCTGCACAGTGTTGGACTTCAACAACCTCCTCTTCTGAAGTAATGCAGGCATGAACAAGAGAGAAATGGTTTCTGGTACAAACAACCTGGACAGACTGGTGGAGTTGGGTGGTGGTGGTGGTGGTGGAGGTGGTGGTGGTCGGGGAGGGAGCTGACCTCTAACCCTGCATTCGATCGCCCTCATGTGCATTAGTGAGAGAGAGAAAACAGAGAAACGTAACACCTCCCAACCCCCTGCTAACCTCCTCCTCTCTTCCTGCTGCTCCTCCTCTTCCTCCTCCTCGGGGTTGATTTGACACACTTCTCCTAAACATTACCATGTGGAGTCTCCTCTCTCTCTTTCTTTGTCTCTCTGCTGCTCGCTTTCTGTCAAAACAGAAACACAATTGTGAGCCAAGGCGACTTCTCAAAGTCAGAACAGCATGTCAACACACACAAACACTCTCCGGCTCTGATTTCAGTTTATTTCTCTTCTCTCCTTTTTTTTTTTTTCTTCTCTGTGTTTTGCTGATCCTCCCTGCCTCCTTCCCACAGACCTTCATTGTCTTCACCTTCCTCCCTCTTGTCCTCCTCATTTCTGCACAACATTGGCAACTGACAGTCATTTTGCTGTGTTAAAGATTCATAGAAACTGCACTCTAGTTGTGCGATTAAAACACCGGCTAACATAGCTATAGCAAGAGCACTAATCATGTGCGAGCTAGCTGTTGCTATAGCCACAGCTAGCCTTAACTAAACACTTTATCATTTTTTATATAGCATGAATAAAGTAAATGTCATTAGAAGCTAATTCCAGTCATCTTGCGAAAAAACAGCAGCTAACTCCTGCTAAAGGTTAACTAGCTTAGCATAGCTCAGTAGTAGTTCCATTTTTTGCCAGTAGGGGGCAGCAAGCTCCAGTAGTGACATGTAGATTGAGTTGATATTTCAGCAAACAGCTTCTTCTAGCATATCCAGCTGTTCGAGAGCAAATTTTTACTATACTTTTGTTGTTTGTGTTTCTGGCCACTGGACAAACGTTCGTCTTTACAGCTGCGATGTGGGAACAGGTGCAACCTGACAAGTCTAATTACATTACGTATGCACAGACGAATGGTAGGAAAGTCGCTTCGTCGCTACAGTTGTT